AGTGGACCTCTTTAGAATTTGAACCCGGAACCTCCGTCATACTCGTTCCCCATCGACGTAACGATGATATAATACGAAATAAGTCAAACAAATCAAATTGGACCCCCTAAGATTTGTAGCCTAGACCTCTGATATTACATACTATGTGGATGCTCTGACCGACTAAGTTATGGGGGCCCAGTAGGGCCATATCCATATCGTCGGACATAAAATGATATAATTCGAAATACGAGAAATAAATTAGACCCCTTCTGGACTTGGACTCAAAACCCTCCAATTCCTCTAGATCCAAATTGGGATCTAGTTTTTGTTTTGCTTGATTGTTAAATAAACACACTGATGTGTTAAGAAGTCAATCAATTCCATGCGTCTTTTATTTGAATTAATGATATGATATTTTATGAAATTACTTTATTGTCACTCACACAACTTTTACATACAGTAAAATCTCGAATTGATGCCCCCCCCCCCAACCCCTTATTTAGTTTGCAAAATTAGCCTCGAAAAGAAGCCCAACCATGGGCCTCTTTTTAAGATAGCATCTTCTTTTCAAAATAGAACTGTATTTAAACTGTACACGAATTTTAAATAAATAAAATAAATTTAAAACACGCTTGGCTTATACAGTAGCTTAGGTGATTCAATGGCGATTAATACACTCCATGATACAGTTTGATGTTACAGTGGCCCTATTTATTGCTTTATAGTACTAATTCCAAAAATTTACATTAATTTTGAAAAGAAGCCCCCTCTTTACTTTACAAAAGTAACCTCGAAAAGAAGCCCATACAAAGCTGGAAAAAAGAAGCTCAGGGCTTCAATTCAAGGTTTTACTGTATATGAAATTATATTTCATAATTGTGTGATCTATGTCCCTTGTGTCTATTTCTTAGAGATAAAAAGAAATAATTAAAAAAAGAAGTTTTCTAAATTAGTAACATTAGGGGTAAATAAAGACCTATAAGTTAAAAGGGCTTCAAAGTTTCTGAAGGGATGCTTATTAAAGCAGGAGGGCGTGTAGATAAAGATCTAAATATTGAAAGGGATTTAAAGGTCAGCTTCTGGGCTTTGATATTTCTTTTATTCTGTCTGCAATGGGCTCTGAAAATCATTAGCACAGGCTTTGGATACATATTTTTCTCAGGTTGATGTATTGTAATATGAGATCACAATTTCCTATCTACACATCATAGTACAAAACGGGCTGTTTGTTGGTTTTAACTAAACCAGGACTCATGAGCAGTGGCAAGGCCAGGCGGGTTTTGTTTTTTTTTTTCTGTTTTTTTTTTTTTGTTTTTTTGTTGTTTTTTTTGGGGGGGGGGGTTCCTGAGCATCCCCTTTTTACTTCAAACGACGTGGAACAAAAATACAGAATACAGAATTTTTATTGGTCTTGTAAAAGCAAAAAGTACAATAAACAAGAAATTACATTTACGTTTGGCAAACCTTATACAAAATAATAGATTGATGATAAATAATCTAGAATAATGTAATAGAAAATTTTAGTAACTTTAAATGTTACTTTGAATGACCTAGAATGCATATGAAAAACATAAAACGAGAGCCAGTGGTGGGAGTGAAGGAGATTGATATTTTTTAAAATGTGTATAGAAACCACTCATTATTTTTCTTTCATATAATTATATATTTCGTAGTGTTTACAGCATATTTCCACATAATTATTATTTATAATATCCTGTGTAAAGATATAATGACATTAGTGCTTTACGTTTGATTTTTGTATAATACATACTCCAAGTATTGAAATACACGCCATCGTGTTGGGATTCAATATTTCGACATTAATTATGTCATCATCAGGAATGAAAAATTATCCATATTTGCAAGCTTATATGCACTAGTACCAAAAGTGTTTAACCAATCAAAACATTACCTCTAGTAGGTGACATAGCAGTGATTTAAACAAAAGAAAAACAAAAAGCACCAAATGATAAAAGATCCGTAAGTGCGGCAAAAGCACCGAACGTAATGATAAAAGCACCGAACGTAATGTTTCAAAGCACCGAATGTAATGTTAATAAAAGCACCGAACGTAATGTAAAAAGCACCGAACGTAATGTAAAAAGCACCGAACGTCATGTAAAAAGCACCGAACGTCCTGAAAAAGCACCGAACGTAATGTTCAAAGCACCGAACGTAATGTTCAAAGCACCGAACGTAATGTAAAAAGCACCGAACGTAATGTAAAAAGCACCGAACGTAATGTAAATGCACCGAACGTAATGTTAAAAGGGCCGAACGGAAAAGAGCCACCAAAGGCAGTAACGGCGTTCCATAATATTTTACATCGATAGGCTTTGTTGTTACTTATGCTGGGTATTATTAAGCAATATATTTTAGTAAGTATGTATTTGTTCATTTCATTTCATTTATTTATAACTGAATTATAATGTTACCTTTTAGATCTGAAGGCTAGGAAAGCACAATAATAGACCTTATTATTAAACTAACCTACTAGGCCTAGGCCCTACAGACAGTTACTCAATAGGTAGGCCTAGGCCTAGGCCTAGTTAGACTTAGAGCATGGAGTTATAATTATTTTGATTATAACTCCATGGTTAGAGTAGCATGGATTGTACACTTGAAGTATGTTACATCGTTGCAAGAACGAGCAGGGCCCTAGGCAGGTTTTGGGTGGAGTGGGGGGAAGGAGGCTTTAAAAATGTCCTATTGGGTGTAAACAGTGACTGCTCGGGGGAGCAGGGGTATACGACCCACAATTTTTCAAACGGGTGGAGGTGGGGCATGCAACAACAAATTCAGAATAGACAAGTGAGAGTGCTAATTTCAATATACATTGAAATTTTTTAATTTAGTGGTGTGGGGATGGCAAGTGTCTCCCATTCCCCCACCCCCTTACTTAATCTGCCTCTTGCTGGACAGGTCACAAGTTCCCCCACACATCCTTAAAACGGACCTTTGTCCACAGCTGCCACTGTATTTAAATTTAGAATGCCGAACTAAATCACAATTTCAATGATAAATTAATGATCATATTTATTATTTTAATCCATTTAGTGGAAGTATAATTTGCCATCAGGGGAGAGTGTTTCTGCTATCCCAGCCTACCCTCATGATACTTATAGGCAAAACATAATTATACTACCGCTACATATCAACCTAAACAGTTTATGGGCATTGGCAATTTGCATATGATTTCATAACATATTGATATGGAAATAGGAAATGCAAAGATCAATACCAATGGTGCGGGTCAGTAATTAACAAATAGTTAGATAACAATTGAACACAAGGGAAGCAGTGAAGCTGGAACTGAAATGTATTCATAAATTTTTTCAAAGATTGCTTATCTCGAAGGGATAGAAAAAACCAACATATGAACAATAAGAATTGAACAAACTTTAAAAGAATAACAATTGCGTGAGGCTTAAAAGAATCAGCCTAATCCAATGTATTTGTGCTAATGGAAATTACATTGTTTGTAAGTCATCATCATCACATCACCATTATAATATAGTCTAAATAAAGAATGTAGGAATAAAGCCACCCCTGTCCAAAGCCACCCAACAATGGATTATACCATTGTAGTCCCAGGTAACAAGCCCATAAGGGACCCATATGGTGCCCATATGCAGATCTATATGGGTACCATATGTGCAATCCTTGAGGAAACCTCCGGATTCTGCACCCAAGTTCCATGTGGGACCCATATGATTTAGCCCACATAGCCCAGATATAACCCATTTGGGGCCCACATGGAACCCACATTAATTTGTATGTGGGTGGCATATAGGCTTCCCATATGGGACCTATATTTTCTGACCCATATTGGTACCATATGTGCTATCCTTGAGGAAACCTCCGGATTCTGCACCCAAGATCCATGTGGGGCCCATCTGATTTAGCCCATAGCCCAGATATAACCCATTTGGGGCCCATATGGAACCCACATGCATT